CACCATCTAGCACACATTCCTGTAAACAAACTCTTCCATAAATTCTGCCTACTTAAACCCCTTGAGGGTATTTTCTGAAGGGACCCCATATGGTGTCCCTGTTCTATCAAGAGTATCTACTGCAAGTAGACCCTCAAAATTGATTTCCCAATTATTCTATTAGTGTTTCAAGACATCTTTGTTGGGTATAAAGTAGAAACTTTAAATTTCAGCATACAGTGGCACATTTTTCTACCAACTTACCAATAGTATCTGTAATAAGGTAGACTTATCATGGGAGGCAAGAAAATGGGGAACATGTGATGTGAAAATGCATAGGGAGAGCAGCAAAGTATTATAATAACTGTGTTATTAGTTTTAAGTGGAATGACCATTGGTGATATCCTGAATAGCCACAAAGAACAGAGAAAAGTTAAGGAGCTAAAGTTCCACCCTAAGATATGAGTTAAAAAAAAAAGGAAAGAAAGCTAATGTGGAAGTTTTAAAATAGCCTATGCACTCTCACAGCAGCAGAATACATGTGAGGTCTCATAAGTGTAACATTGTTGAAATGTACAGCCCTGCAGTGCCTTCTGTAATAAGATGAGTGCTCTGCTTGGGAAACAGTGGTTCTTGTTTTGGTAGATTAAACAGAATGGAAGACTTCGTGGTGGCAAGTTTTTCTGAGGGTCTACTGCTGCAGAACAATTACTCTCACGATATGGGAAGTAACCTTCACTTTCATTGAAAAATAAATAAATAAAAAGGAACGGATGGACTTCAGCATTGGTAATTATCTCTCAAGGATGCATGGATTCCCTGAGGACGTCTCATATTTTCCAGACCTGTAACTAGAGCTGTATCCAGCTGAGCCAAGACAGAGACCAGCAGACTCCTAGAGGAGGTAAATGCACATCCAAGAATGATGGCAAGGGGCACATTTGAAGACAGAGTCCAAAAGTGTTGGGAAAAGGTGAACAAAAATTAAGAATGGGACACATTCTCCATCCATTAGGCTGTACTTTCCCAGCAACAAGAACAAAGAGATTCCGTGAGTAGGACACTTAAAAAGTGATGATAATGTTCTGTTGTTGTTAGTTTCAACTCGTGATCATCTTGCACAATGGAAGGAAGCACTGCCTGGTCCTGCATCACCCTCAGAGTAAGTGTTATGTTTGAGGCCATTTTTGCAGCCATCTCCTGGATGGTCCTGCCCCTTTATTCTGGCCCTCCACTTTACCAAGCATTCTGTCATTTTACAGGGACTGGTCTCTCCTGACAACATGTACAAAACACAAGTGTGCCATCTTCACGTCTAAGGATCATTCTGGCTATGGTTCCTCTAAGACATTTGTTCGTTCTTGTGGCAAGCTATGGTGCTTTCAGTGTTCTTCACCAGCAAAATCATTCAAATGCAGCAATTCTTCTGTGGTCTTCTTTATTCCTTGTCCAAATCTTACATGCACAAGAAATAGTCCCAAAGCCATTGCTTGGGTCAGTCACATCTGCCTTCAAAGAGACAGATTTGATTTTCAAGGCTTTAAGGACGTCTTGTGAAACATATTTTCCTAATACAATATTTCCTTTGGCTTCTAAACTGTAGATTCCATGAGTATTGAACAGGGATCCAAGCAAAATGAAACCCTTGACAACTTCAATTCTTTCTCCACTTGTCATAGTGTTATGTATTGGTCCAGTTGCAAGAATTTTGGATTTCTTTACATTAACTTGCAATCCATAATGAAGACTGTATTCTTTGATTTTCATCAGCAAGTGCTTTAAGCATAGAAAAAAATCTGAAGCTTAACAGAGATGGAAATTTGAATACCTGTTATATCTAAACTCTCAGCCAGTGCATGATCATGAATTCAAGGCAGCACCAGAATCTCTGGCAAGGATTTTTGTCTTTTGTTTTCCCCATAGGATAATCTCTTAGCATCAATCTATTTGGATATTAATTCTTAAAAGGAAATTATGAATTATTCACAAAAGAAAATTAAAGCAAATTGCATTGAATAAGCAAATTTCAGTTTTATCATTATGTCTGAGAGTGTCTAGATTCTACTAATAACAAAATATTAAGACTAGAAATTGGAATTAAAAAGGAATCTTTTTTAGCACCTAGTGTAGATTATCTTGTTTAGTTATTATTATATCCTATAAATTATTTTGTAACACTTTAATTTTTACAAGTAATGGCAATAAACTGAGGCAGTAAAACATTTGTCTAATTTGTCATTTACTGTGTGTTGAATAAAGGTAATCTGAACTCAAGGAGCAACCTTTCAGACGTGAACTAACAGAGAGTTTAGAAATTGAAGTGCCTAGGTGAGACAACTGGATGTAGCTCGAGAATAGTAATTATAAGGAGGTGATTCCCTGCATTGTGAAGCACCAGGATCCAGAGGAAATACTGTTGCTAAGACAGATGGAGATCTCTAAAGAATGCTTCTGAGCCTATCGATACTGAAAGGAAACAATGACCTTTCCCCAGAGTTAAACTAGAGGGAACACTTTATCCTAGAATGATGTTGTTAGGTGCCATCCAGTGGATTCCAACCCATAGCGACCCTGTGCACAACAGACCGAAATCCTGCAAGGCCCTGCTCCATCCTCTCCAGGAATAGGTTCTCCGAATTTATTTATTTAAACACGTTAGCTTTCCTTTTAAATTCTCATGTTTTCCCTCTATACTATGTATTATGCAAGCATATCAAGTTCATGTGTTTATGTAGCTATTATATGTGTATGTGGACATATATTTATGTAAGAAGCCCTGGTTAAGCATTGAGATACTGACTGTAAGGTCAATGACTCAAACCCATTAGGTGCTCTTTAGGAGAAAAAGAGGCTTATTTGTAAAATTGTCTCAGAACCCTTGTATGGAATTGCTATGTCAGTACTAAATCAGTGTCAGTCGGCCAATTACACTTCAATTTCTTATTTAATGTTTTCTACTATTGTTAGAGTAGGATTTGGAATTTTGAATGAGGTAATTGAGAAACCAAAAACTAATGTAAATCAAATATGACAAAGGCAATGTCTTGAATTAATGTGCAAAGTTGGTTATTATAAAGAAAATCAGTATTTTTATAACAATCACAGTAGACATCTTTTCAGTCATATTTGAATCAACACACAGTCAATGACAAGCAGCTATGGAACAGGTTACCTTTGATTCTAGGAAGAATGAGTGATAATGTTCTCAAAAGTTAATGGAGCTTACACTGACTCATGAAAGTTTAGCACGTATAAATGAACCACTCATTTAGCATCCAACCCATTCTGTAGTGGTATGAGTGAATAAATATGACTATCCATCCATGGTGTTCATATAGGATTCAATATTGGTTTCAGTACACACCATCAAAAGTCATCCAAGTAAATCATGACTTATTACTTCTCAAAAAGGAAAACTTGAAAAACCTCAACAGAAAAAACTGGCAAAGCAAACAACCAAATTGTATCATAAAGAGTGGAAGATTATCAACTACGTAAATTGCTTTTAAAGTACCACCACATGCTTGTCATATTTGCTTCAGGGAGCTGAGCTTAGTGAAAGTTAACTTATTTTTAAAATGTTTGACATCCTATCCTCCTACTTTAAAAAGTGCACACTCATCTGGCTAGAGAAAGAATGCATGTTAATTAACATGAATTTATAATAAATAGAAATTTAGAAAGTTTTCAGAACACTTGTAATTCCATCCAGAAGTAACCATCCTATATTTGTAAATTTTTCACACATAAGAGCATTTCCACGTTCATCTTAAAATAATTATTTTCTTCCCTTCATATATATTTCAATCATGAATCTAATCCATAGCAGTAATCTTCCTTTGATGTATTTTTCCTAAGAGCAAATTTATCATCACACCATGAAATCTTATAATGTTCAGGGATAACAAGAACCTTTATTTTGTAGTGAAAAAAGCCCTCCTTATTTTACATACTACATACTACTACTACCTACTACATACTACTGCTCAACCTGCACCTCAATTGCTAACTAAGCTTTTCAAAATCTTCATTCATTTGGTCTACCAAAAGTATGCTAGGTTTAATAATACATATAATCCAGAAAGGTTTTTACTTGTTAATAAAGGAAGAGTCCTCTGTGTGTTTCTACACCTCATCAAAAAGTTCATCTATGAATCAGTATTTCCTCACAAAGTAAGATGATCAGACTTCAGAGTTAATTTCTTGCAGCAGCTGAATTGTTCTGAAAAGGATCCCGCTTCTCTTCCAGCTTTGAGGTTCACTGCACCATTCCAGGCCTAGATCAGCACCGGAATGTTCAATTGGCTGCCAGCCTGCAGTATGAGGGGACTGAGGCTCTGACATCAACTATTCTCCCTACCCAGAACACAATTGTGCATTAGAAAAAGCGTGCCTCCTGCTGAGAACTGGCTTCTCAAGATCCATGCATGCCTCCTCGCCATCCGAGAACTGCCTTCTTATGTTTCTGCTGGTCACAGTTGCATCAAAACTCCCAAATTCCTGAATTCCCTTATTCAAATTGCTGTACTGTAGCTAAAAATCTGCTTCCACTTCCTCATATACCTTTGTTATGTAATTGACAGCCACTCCATTTTCTATAATTCTCTTTTTAGCCATATTCAACTCATTCTATTTCAAAATGCTTCTCTAATCCAATTCTTTGTCTCTTTGCATTTCTTTAAGCAAATAAATAGTAAAAAAAATGAACAGTTTTATATGTTTCATTTTTATGCACAACATAATTGAAAAATGAAGAGGCTGTCCATGCATAAAATTGTATTTTATGAAGAACTTACCATGACAAAAGAAAAAAAAAGTATTTTTCCTGTTTTACCCAACTTATTTGAAGTGAAATCTATGCAAATTACTGATAGAATGGGAGAAAAATAAGTAAATCTAAGAAATATGCAATCTATTTGTGAAACAACATGGAAATAGAAACAAGTAACACAAAACCATAGTTAAAATGCCGGTTGCTGCCATAGTAAACTGAACATAGAGAGACGGGCACCGGTGCAGACAGAAACACAACTTTTAGAATAATGCAACACTCACTGCTGTCGTGTCTGACTCAATGATCTTTTTTTTTTTTTTTTAATTAGCAATAATCACGCCTCGGATAAACCTCACTGGCTACGGTATTGCCACTGCACAAAGCTAACTCCTAGTGATCTTATAGGACAGGGTAGAACTGCCCCTGTAAGCTTCCAAGACTGGGACTCTTTGTGGGACTACTCATAGAAAGCCTTGTCTTTCTCCTAAACTTCAGGAGAGGGTATTTTTATAAGCTGTGAAAGGTGAATGAAGTCATATATCTGCCAGGTTTGTGGGGGCATGTTTGGAAGATAATATGAACAATGTCATGCATACAGATCCAAAACCTCTGGGCTAGGCAATGTATAGACTATAAAGCAGAATCTATATTGAAGGTACATGTTTAAATATTTGCTGAAAGCCCCATTGGGAAAGCATTCCAAGCAATGCCACAGCAGCGTAAAATAGGACGGTTCATGAGTTTTTCAACCTGAATATATTTGGCTTAAGGAAAACTTAAGGGCTATATAGAGAGTACTTGAATTTTGAAGATGAAGGAGTCAATATATTGGAAGTCTTGATTGAAATAATTCAATTTTACATTGACACACACTTAGATGAGTGGAGTGAAAGCTAAGCTTGTGGTTTTCAGTATCGATATTAGGATAATATTGTATGGTTTCAAAATAAAGCTATGTCACCTCATACAGATGCGCAAGATGGGCAATGAATAAGGAAGACCAAAGAAGTGTTGATGCCTTTAAATTAAGATGTTGGTAAAGAATATTGCAAATACCATGAACCGTCAGAAAAACAAACAGAACACAAGCAGAATACCCTGAGAAACACGGATGAGAAGGCTTTGCCCTACTTTGCACATGTGGTCAGGAGGACCCATCTCTAGAGAAGGACATCAAGCCAAATAAGTAGAGGATCCACAGAAAGAGGAAGACTCTCAAGGAGCTTACTGAACATGGTGACTGAAAACATGTGCTCCAGCTTGGTGTTAGGGTGGCCGCATCTTATTCTGTTAGCTCCACAGAAGCAAATGGATAGTGCCTCACCACAACAATGATGTTTTCCTTCATGTCATTGTTTACCAATTTAGTCTAGTCTACACCCAAACAGTCTTTAAGCTATGTTATTTTTAAAGTACAGACTCAAAGCTAAAAGGCTTGTAATATAAAGTATTTCATTCATTAAATTAATACAGGCTGGGAAAATACTTCTAAAATCAAGGTCAAAGATATCATTAATTAAACAGAATGTTATGTGAATTCTTTACTCTTATGGCAGAAAGAAAATGGCTTATCATGATTTTCCTTTCTATTATGGAAAGTTCTACAAATGTGTTAGGTTGAGTTTTCTAGAGAAACAAAACTAGGTGTTTGTGTGTGTGTGTGTGTGTGTGTGCGTATACATACATATATGTATGTATATCAATAAATAAATTTATATCAAATTCATGTCAACCCTGTCCAACTGAGGCCCAAGAGTCAGATGCTAGTTGGAGCCACCTCCAGACTCACATAGCTGTCAGCTGATAAAGCAAGCATTGCAGAAAGGGAAGCTGGGCCTAGTGGTGGGCCAAGAGGTATTTCTTGCATCAAAATCAGTAAGAGTGTGGCAAGACACTGCAGTTTCCAGGGTAGATAGGCCAAATGGGCTACAACCAACCAGAGCCAGATGCAAAACCAAGGCATACCAGAAAGGAGCGGGGGTAAAAGAGGGAGCAGTTCTCCTCAACATCTCTTACCAAAAAGCCCCCACCAGCAAAGAGACATCTAGGCTGTGTCTTGATTGAGAGGTTGGACTCCATCCAGACCTTCACACAGGTGCATTAAGTTCAAGGTCTAAACATCATGCCAAGTATAAACCTTTGATAGTAAAACATTCCTAGATCCTGAGCTTATGATATTGTTCTGTTTGCTTTTTAGCAGCTATTCCATTAGCTCCAACTCACAGTGACACTATTTAAAACAAAAGGAAATATTACCAAGTGATGTAAAATATTACAGGGGGCAGTAAACCACTGAGTTTATGGGAAGATTTCTATTGTTTTTGCTTCCTATATTCAGAAGCACCAGGAAAAAAAATGTTCACTTGGTTTTCCATTTTTGATCCTAAAAGAACTTAATATAAATTCTGCATTTCATTTGAAACTTTCTGCTTCAACTTTCTAATTCTTTTATTTAAATGAAAGTTATTAAGCATCTAATTTAAGTTTACAAATTTATTTTGTGCTAAACGGATGCGCTTCCATTTCATTCAAGTCTAACAATTTTCAAAAAAGAGTTTTATTTGATATTAAAAACTGCTTTTGTGAATTCAAAAGCATTGAAAAGAGCATGCACCTTCTCAATTATTTTTATATTAGCATCAATATGGGATAAGATTGTTTGGGGTTTTTAAGGGACATATTTAGGATTTGTTAGCATACATTGCTATTGGGGTAATTCTTAATAGAATTGTGCTTTAGGGCATACTGCAGTAGAATTTTAGAATTAAGACATTCATTTCATCCTCCTTAAAAGGAAGACTATACCTCAAAGGGAAGAAAAATAAATTAAAATCAAATAAATAAACAATTTCCCTTCAATGCAAAGACATTTTTGTTTCTTAACTGCTGACTGGATCACTCACAGCTAATTTTCCAGGAGGGTGATAAAAGCTGACTCAGACTATTCATGTCTGAACATTCCAGCCAGCCATGCAGGGAAAAGAGAGCCAGAGTAGGCCCAGGGCTGTGTCTGTGTAATTGTCATGGGAAAGTCCTCTGGCTCCAAGTCCATTCGTATTGACCAGGAGATATGTGGAGAATTATTTGAGAAAATACAACAGGGTCTCAATTCTAAATCTCCATGTGTGCAACATTGCTGACCCATGTACGCATGAAGGGAAAGCACGTCTTGTGTGTTCTCATTCACCCAGGAACTCAGCGCACACTATTATTTCAAGAAAAGCACTGAAATTTGAACATATATTTGTCTGCTTTTGTAAATATTCCTGAACATAAATATTATTTTTCTTAAATGAACCTTCACTTATAAAATCACTTGACTGAATGAGTTGAATGCATATATATCAACACCAATTTACTATGTTTTTCTCTATAGAATAAGGAATCACTGTGCCAATCTGCCTACATGGTGCATGTCTGTATTTTGAAAATTGAGTCAGTTTCACAGCAAGATATAATGTTGCCACATTTTTAAAAAACTAAGAATAGAGTGGAGATAAAACAATGAAAGTAATACTTAAGGAATAAAAGCATTATTTTCACATATAATCTAAGTAATAATATAATTAAAGCATCCAAGAAAGAGAGAGAACACACCATTTGCACAAATACAAATTATATTTCATCAAAAATATTTTTACAGGTATTATAATCCATTACACTTTTTTCAAACAACTATTTTCATAGGATAAGAAAATGAATTCACATTTTTCTAAAAATAAACACTTAACCCAGTTCTTTCTTTCTTCTTCTTACTCTATCAGACTCTTTGGCCTTATTTTCTCATTCACTTCCTATTCCTTTTTCATTGTGGATATTTAAATTTCATGACTACGAAGAATTAATTTTCCCATAAATAAACACTCTCTCTAGCACCCGGCACTTCACGTCTTTGGAATAGCATGTGTATTGCCAGTGAAATAGGAAACAACCCATACAAAGTACTGAGGAGTTTGCCTAAACAGCAGCAAAGAGGAAAGTCTTCTGTCTATCTGAGGAACTCCAGTTTTCATTAGAATAACTCTCGGGATGCTAACAAACACCAGATTATTTTAGGACCTATTGACAGAAAGGATTCTCTTTAAATAAAAAATAAAATTCAAATAATTGATCCTGTATTGCGAGGGGAAATGATTTTGCCAAGCATAAAGTGTTTTTACCATTAGTTTTAAATGACTGATCTCATTGCCTCTTGGGAAACTCTGCTGCACAAAATGCACATCAAGGATGTCACTCTAATGCTTCATAAGCATGTGAAAGTTAGACAATTACTAAGGAAAATTGCAGAAGGGTTTTTGCATTTGAATTGTGGTATTGATGAATAATATTGAAGATAACTTGGATTGGCAGAAGAACAAACCAGAATTCTCAGAAGGAAGGATGGCAAGCGTTCCTCTCCCATACTTCGGACATGCTATCAGAAGGGATAAATCCTTGGGGAAGGTCATGGAGAATGGAGCCCTTCATGAGAGGAATTGAACACACTGATTGCAACAGTAGGCTCAGAGTAATGGTTGTGAGATTGGATGGGGAACATGTAGCGCTTTGTTCTCTTAGACATAGGGTTTCTATGAGTCACAGCCAACTCAACTTTACATTAACAGGCACACCTTTTTTTCCTGTCTTTGACTAGAAGTGTTATAAATTCATATTGTTTTTCAAGCTTATTAAAACAAAACTTCCTTTTAAGGAATATCATTCAATTTATCATCTTTATTTTTAATTTTCTTATTGGGTCTTGTTGGAGCTTACCAAAGGTGATGCAAATGCTGCAAATCTCATTTTTAAATTCCATTTATTCCCTTGCTCTGTTTTTAGTTTACTAATGCTAAATAAACGTCTACTTAATCTTGCTGGTATAAATAATGGATGTATGAGACAATTGGCTACAAAATATTTAAAAACTCACTCAACTAGAAACTTGAATAATAGAGACCTTCTTTAAGAGAATAATCAATGCATAGCAACACTATACTCACATACTTCTACTGAAAGACCATCTTTAGAATACACCAATTTGATACTTATTTGGCTCAGTCATGCCTCAGTTTGCCCTACATTCGGTCAACTCACTGTGACCTGAGGGAACAGGGTACGACCTCTTCATAGAATTTCTAAGGCTATAATCTTTATGGAAGTTGACAGACCTATTTACAGCAGCTGAACACTTATTCACTGCAACAGCAGGGTCCTGTGGGGTGTGGGTTTGTTTATGTGTACTCCTTCAATGCTACTCAAAAGGGGAACCAAACCAACCAAACTAAACCATACTAACTGCCATGGGGTCAATGCTGACACATAAATACAGAGCCGGGTAACTGCCTCTGTGAGTTGCTGAGGCTGCAACCCTTTAGGAGTAGAAAGCCTTGTTTCACTCCTACAGAC